TAAAATACTGTTTAGACAAAGTCTCATATAACTGGAACATAGTTAACGTCGTTTCTGTTCAGAAATCAACGCATAATTATTTTAAATCAAGTTCGATTCACGCAGTCCATTCTTTTTTTTTTTTTATTTGTGCTTGACGAAAAAATATATAACAATATTAATTCAGTTGAATATCATGCGAAAAAGAAGGTCTTAAAATTTTCTTCCCTATTATTCACAAACGGAAGATTTGAATTATACTATCTAAAAAATTTATCGTCAAGAGAAGCGACTTTTGTTAAATTATTTTGTTTCAAATTTGTAAACATAACATTATAAAATCTACTAAAAATTATTAGTTGCCTATTTGAATTTAATATCACTATAAAAGGCATTAAGCGATAAATTATCGTATATATATATCGTGTGTATATATATATGATTTGTCCAATCAGCCTTAAATTTAAATGCTTCTTTTTACAAATACATAATTGTATAATAATAATATGTTTAGATTATAATTCTAAGGTTGACGAAATTTTTTCTAAAAACATTAAAAGTAAGGTCTACAATCACGCAATTATATTTTTGAATAAAATTCATTTTTCCTGACTCACCATAAAATTTTCGAATTTTTTAATTTCATTTAACCAGACACATTTTAATACAACAGACTGAAGCTATTAATAATAATAATAATAATGTTGTATTATTATTTTTATTAACACTACAATTCTCATTAAAGGGTAAATACATATTTCGCTTATATTATGCAATGTACAAGTTTTTTTTCTTTCTATTTATAATGCGTCATTAATACAGAAACATTAAAATTATTCGACCGATTGCATAATTTTAAATTTAGAAATGAGAACATCGTTTTGGAAGAGCCTTTAACAAGGCTCTTTAATATTCAATAACAATGAGAGATTAATTCTTATTATTTTTCAATTACAGGCTTCGCACTCAATAATTTGTTAAAGTTAAAAAAAAGTGCTAAAAGTAGCAAAAAGTAGCTTTAAGACTGAAAAAAGTATCAAAAACTAGCATTAAGACTGAAAAAAGTAGAAAAAAATAGCTACTATCGAAAAATTAAATTTGGCGACTAAAAAATTTATTCTACACGATTCACAAAATTCATAAAAATTTCATTTTGTATTTCTCTGACATTTTCCTGATTTCCATCAAAAATATTCTTTTCCTGGATAATAACTTCAATTTTAAATTCTTCTAAACTTCAAATATTTTCCAAACTTTAGTTAGAAATTGAGGCTCCCAATTCAAGAACCGATCGGACGCTCGGACGACACGCGCAACTCCTGGTGAGTGAGCAGTGAGCGCCTCTGGGCCACTCACTGCTACCCGACTGGTACAAGCGCGTGTCGTCCGAGCGTCCGACCGATTTTTGAATTGGGAGCCTCAATTTTAGAATTCTTCAAAAAATTGATTATATTTCAAAATAATTTCTAAAAGTAAGAAAATTAATTTTTTGTAAACATAAAATTTATTTCAATTAAATTTGACAAAATTTTCCATTAATATTGGAAATTTAAATAAATATTTTTTTTAATTTTAATTAAAATTTTTCAAAAGACAAATTTTTTTTGATAATTATTAAAATATTCAAATTTTCATATTTTTATTCACTGAGTGTATGAATACTTATTTATTTTTCCACAAGAATTAAAATTTTAAACAATTTTATAATGTAAAATCTTTTTCAAATTTATAACAATTTCTATAAAAATTCATATTATAACGCATTTAATATTCAATTATTATAATCTTGAATTTTAATTGTAATTTATTTTTAAATCAATTCTTATTCAAAAATTCTACTCGAATTCAATTATTTAAATACAAATAAAATACAAATAATAATAGAATAACTGATTGTTTCTTAAAATTGAATAATAAAAAAGAATTTTATCAAAATTTTTGAAAATAATTCATTTCTTTCGAAAAATATTAATAGAACTTTAGAAAATAATTACATTTTTTGAGGAATTCATTTCAAATTGTATTCAAAATAATTCAAATGCTGCAAAGAATTTTATTATTTACAAAAATAATTGAATTCCTCGGAAGAATTTTATTATTTATGAAAATAATTGAATTCCTTTGAAGAATTTTATTAAAATTATATTTAAAATAATTGAATTCTTGCGATGAATTTTATTATTTATGAAAATAATTTTATTTTATTTTATTTTATTTTATAATTGAATTTTATGAACAATTTCTTTCAAGTTTTTAAAATACTCGTGGTTGTTTAAAATTGAAATTAAACATTTAATTATTGAATTTTATTAAAATTTTAGAAAGTAATTGAATTCTTTTGAAAAATTTTTTTAACGAATTAAGAAAAAAATTGAATTATTTCGTGGAATTTTTTTTAAAATAATTGAATTTTTGCAAAGAATTTTACTATTTACAAATATAATTGAATTGTTTCCAAGGATTTATTAAAATTTTAGAAAATAATTAAATTTTTTCGAAAAATATTAAAAATTAAACAAAAATTGAATTCTTTCATGAAATTTAATTAAAATTGTATTGAAAATAATTAAATTTTTGCAAAAAATTTTACTATTTATAAATATAAATTGATTTTTTTCGAATAATTTAAAAAAGTTTTTTTAAATAATTAAATTTTTGTGAAGAATTTTATTTAATTTTTTTTAAATAATTGAATTCTCGTGAAAAATTTTATTATTTGGGAAAATAATTGAATTCTTGCGGTAGAATTTTATAAAAAGTTTTTAAATTGATTTTTGTTCGATAAATTTTATGAAATAATTTAAATAATTCCCACATTCTTCTAGTTACATAATTTTAAATAAAGAAAGAAATTTATCTAATAAAAGTCCCTAAATTTCTTCCTTGTAGGTCGAACAATCTTAATGTTTTTTTAAAAATTATTTGTCTCTCAAATTAGTATTGTTATTATTAATGACTCTGTAAAAATGATAGTTTCTTTAAGAAACAAGATAGTAACCAATTTTTTTTCTTATTTAGAATCTTTTCTCTATAAAACATAATTTGAAAATTTAACTTCCTTTAACTAATAAACTGTAGCATATGAATAAGATATACATTACAGCGATATCCTGTATTATAATGTTACAGAGATCAAGCTAATGACCTGCAATATTTCGATAATGCTGAAAGCCAAATATTTCTTTACTGTCTGTTGATATTTTACATAAAATCTGTCTTCTAATAAAAAATCTACCAATTGTGAAGACTTCGATTACATTTGTCAAATGTCGATATAAAGTAATGTTAGAAATCAAATAAAAAAATGTCTTTTTAGATTCGACATTAATATTTAATAAAGAAATTGAAAATTTAATCAAATAATTTAAATAATTAATTGATATCTACCAAATTAATCTGTATGCAAATATATAAAAATATATACTGCAAATAGCAAAATGTTCTTATAGCTCAATAAAATGTAAAGTTGCTGAAATCTTATAGATTAATAATCTATAAATCAGTAATCAATAATAATTTAAAAATTAGCCTTCACTTATGTAATCAAAACGAAACAGATTTCACTTTACACTGTTTTTTAAGAAATATTTTTGATACAAAACAGAATGATACACTGTAATTTTTAAATATTGCGGTTGTTTAAAACAAAACTAGCACCCACTTAATTTTGGAAATTTAATTTTTGAAGCTAATTATTTTTTTGTTTAAAACCAACATACAGGGCTCAAACCAGTGAAAAAATTTAAAAATACGGACCAAAAATGAAAAAATATGGACCAATATGGACCAATTACTGCCAAAAATGTAACCAGTCCTAGTTAAAAAAGAGAACATTTTACTTAAAACTATAAATTAAATTTTTTCATAACTATAAAACATGAAAATATCGATACTCCGAGCCTTTGACTCGGAGTGATCGATTTCTTCATATTCTATAATAATTAAAAATGGCCCAGTAATAAAATCATTATTTTATATTATAAGAAAGATAAGAATATTGTACTTCATCAAAATTATTTTCATCATTTCAATTCAATTATTATTTTCAAGAATTTTTAACTAAAATTCTTCTTCAAATCAATTAATTTTCGAAAAAGTCCTCTGACAATTTTGAAATCCATTTCTTTACAATATTCAATTTTACAAAATTTCAATTATTCGTAAATTCTTCAATTAAATATTTAATATTAGAAAATAAAAATTTCAAACAATATACAAAATTCAATTAACTTTTTTCAAAATTCAATTATTTCTAAAAATCCACGCTATATTGCTTTTAATATTTAATTATTATCTAAAATTTTAACTGAAATTCATTTTAAATCAATTTTTATTAGAAAATTCTACTAGAATTCAATTATTTAAATAAAAAAAAATAATTTATTGAATAATTGAATTCTCATAAAGAATTTTATCAACAAATTTTTAAATAATTGAATTCTTTTGACGAATTTTAATAAAAGTTTTAAGAATAATTACACTTTTCGAGGAATTCCATTAAAATTGGATTAAAAATAATTGAAATTCAGCATTGAGTTTTATTATTTATGAAAATAACTGAATTCCTAAAAAGAACTTTGTTTACGAAAATAATTGAAACCTTGTAAAAATTTTATTATTTATGAAAATAATTAAACTATTTAGAAGAAATTTATAAAAAATTTGTAAATAATTGAATTCCTGTGAAATTTTTATTATTTTATGAAAATAATCAAATGTTTGCGTAGAATTTTATTAAATTTTTTAAAAATAATTGACTTCTTTTGGAAAATTTTATTTAAATAGCAAATATTAAAAATCATTGAATTGAGGAAAATTTTTGAAAATAATTGAAATTTTGCCAAGAAGTTTATTACAATTTTTTGAAAATAATTGAATTTTGGACAAGAATTTGATTATTTCTAAAGATAATTGAAATTTTAACGAGAATTTTTAAAAATTCTTGAACATAATTGAATTTCTACGAAGAATTTTATTACTTTTGAAAATAATTGAATTTCTGCAATCATTTGTAATTTCTCTAAAATTCTCCAAATTATTTTGTTCAATTTACGAACTTTCGTCCTTTTTCTATCAAATTACGGACTTTATGGACCTTTACGGGATATACGGACCTAGTTTAATTAAGTGGGTGCTGATATCAGCACCCACTTAATTAATTCAGCTTCATGCTTCTTGTTCTACAACTTTAAATAAATTATAAAAAGGAAAAGAAATTCATAAACTCCAATGTCACACATTTAAACAAAAGTGAGTTGAAAATTAAATCAAACCGAAATTTCTGATCAAAAATAGTATCAAAAATAAATCGATTAATATACAATATTGTTGTTTTCTGTTACATTTTCATTATTAGCAGACACAATTAAATATTCTTTTTTCAGTGAAATGCTTTCAAAAGAAGAAAACAAAACAAATATTTTCAAAAAGAAAAAAAAATCAAATAAAAAAAGCACTTGGCGATTTTTGAATCATTTTAAAATGAATCTTATTACTTCTTTGTTCGAATTTTGATCATCGAGTATTATTAATTTCTTCGGAAAATCGTTTGAAGAGAGTAAGTAATCTCTGCGAACGAATCAACACTTACAGAAAAGATCATTGCAGAAAGTTAACCCAAGTATTTATACAGAAATTGATCGTTGGTGATCAACGTTTTGTCGCTTCTGGAAAATTTGCTGAGCCAAATTATGTCACTATATAGTTGTTGAAAGTCTAGACAACGCTGATTATCAAATTGTTTAATTTTTTTTTACAGTAGCAGTCTATATTCATCAGACCTTGTTGTGATGTCTCATCTCATAGGCTGAGGACCTCCCGCCTCCCCCGGAGCTCGAATAGGCGCCGGCGTACAGTTCGGGGTGGTTGGAACGACTGTGGTTGGCTGCTGGACCGCTACTTGGTGACGCACTAGCTGTGGGAACCGAGTGATATCCTGTTTAAAGTTTAGAAATAATCTAACTTAACTACAATAAAAAAACACACACATACTCAAGCTTCACTTAAGGAGGTGCACGAATAAACACTAATATGTCTATTTTGTCTAAATTTTTAACTCTGCAGTTCACATGCATGGTAAACTCGCAGTGAACTTGCGGCAAATACCAAAATGTCCGCAAGAGAATTAATTAAATCTTGCAGAAAGTTTTAATATTATTTTTTAGCCACCTTCTTACAAGAAAAGAAGAAAACTCCTCGCCTCCTCGAAAGGCTATACGTAGTTTATGAACGACCCCTAATTTCTTATTCAGATACCATCCATATAATACGTCACACTATTTTTTTACCATTTTTATACCCCCTTGAAGTGTTGCGTACTATATGGACGACCGACAGTAGAATTTTGTTTAGCCGAATATTTATCAGGGTTGCCACAGGTCAGGGAATTCAGGGAAAAGTCAGGGATTTTTATTAAAGTACTGGAAAATTATGTTCAAAAGTTTTTAAAATTCTCATCAAAATTCAATTATCTCTAAAAATAATAAAATTTTTCTCCGAATTTCAATTATTTTCAAAAATTTTAATAAAATTATTTGCAAAATTTCAATTATTTTCAAAAAATTTTCAAATTTTCTCAATTCAATGACTTTCAATATCTACTATTTTAATAAAATTTTTCAAAAGAATTCAATTATTTAAAAAAAAATATTGATAGAATTCTAATCAAACATTAAATTATTTTTATAAATAATAAAAATTTCAGAAGAATTCAACTATTTATACATTTTTTTATAAATTTCTTCGCAATAATTCAGTTATTTTCATAAATAATAACATTTAAAAAGAAAATTCATAGAATTTCAATTATTTTTAATAAAATTTTAATCGAATTTCTCGAAATTTTTATTTATCAAAATTTTTTTTAAATAATTAAAATAATGTAAAGAATTTTATTATTTATGAAAATTTTATTATTTATGAAAATAATTGAATTCCTGCAACGATTTTTATTACATTTTTTTTAAATAATTGAATTCTTTTGAGAACTTTTATTAAAATAGTAGATTTTGAAAACATTTGAATTTCAACGAAGAATTTCATTATATTCGTGAAATGTAATTTAATTCTTGCAAAAAATTTAAGAAAATAATTCCATTTTTCTAGGATTTTATTTTAAATTGTATTAAAAATAATTGAAATCCTCAGAAAAATTTTATAATTGAAGGGCTACATAAAATAAGGGGACGAACGCGAGGCTTGGAAGGGATACTACCAGTCGGGTAGCAGTGACAAGCCTTGAGCCGCTCGCTGCTACCTGACTGATATTATCCCTTTCAACCACGCGTTCGTCCCCTTATTTTATGTAGCCCTTCAATTTATGAAAATAATGGAATTCTTATAACGAATTTTATTAAATTTTTTTAAATAATTCAATTCATTGAAAAATTTTATTACTTGTAAAAATAATAATTGAATTCCTGCAACGAATTTTATTATTATATTGTATTTTTAAATAACTAAATTCTTTTGAGAACTTTTATTAAAATAGTATATTTTGAAAATTTTTGAATTTTAGCAAAGAATTTTATTAATTGTGAAATGTAAAAAATGCAAAATGCAAAAAATTTTTGAAGATAATTTCATTTTTCGAGAAATTTATTTAAAATTGTATCAAAAATAATTGAAACCCTGTGAAGAATTTTATTATTTATGAAAATAATTGAATTCTTGCAACGAATTTTATTATAATTTTTGTAAATAATTTAATTTTTTTTTGAAAAATTTTATGGAAATCTAAATTTTTATAAGTTATTGAATTTTAAAAATGTTTGAATTTGAATGTTTTGAAGATTTTTAATTCCTATAGAAAAATAATAATTAATTACTTATTTAAAAATGAAGTTATTGATGTTTTTGAATAATTTTACAATTAAAGAAATTCGTAAGTAAATGTAATACAATGTTTTTTTGAGTATCTAATAATTTTTTGAGTGAATCAGAATATTCTTTAGGGTCAGGGGAAAGGGCAAAATTTTGTCTGGAAATCAGGGAAAAGTCAGGGAAAAACAAAATTCGGTTTTTGTGGCAACCCTGTTTATACCGGATCAAACCATGTCAACTTGAACTAAAATTTTTAAAGTTTGTTGTAAAAGTAAAATAATTTATGAAAATCAATAGTCTATAACGAACTAAAAAAACACTTTTAACCATTTTTCGAAAATTTAAATTTTTAAAACTTTTTTTTTAAATAAATTTTTGCATCATTTTAAAAAAAATTAATAACTCAAAATTATTTTGTTAGAAATTAATGGGGATTTTTCTGGTAGTTAATTAATATGTACTCTTTTAAATAATCAATGTTCATAAATAAATAAAAAAAAATCAAAGCTTTTTTTTAAATCGGCCTCTCCGATTATAATTAAAAATACAAAAAAATTTTTCGGGAATATAATGACAAGAGTCCAAGGTGTGTTATGTATAAATTTCATTAAAATGCTTGCTCTGGAAATCATCAAAAATACAAATTGTTTATAAAATAAATTGTTTTTAAAAATTAAAAATTTTTGAAATTTTTTTTACAATTATTTTTATGTAAAAGAGTAGGTACATATTAATTAACTACCAAAAAATCACCATTTATTTCTAACAAAATAATTTTGAGTTATTATTTTTTTTAAATTGATGCAAAAATTAACAAATTTTTTAAAAAGGTATAAAAACTTAAATTTTCGAAAAATATTTAAAAGTGTTTCTTTAGTTCGTTGTGGACTATAGATTTTCATAAATGTTTTTACTTTTACAAAAAACTTTACAAATTTTAGTCCGAGTTGACGTGATTTGACCCACTGTAATTTTTCTAATTAACAGTATTTATAAGATCCAATTAATTTCGAATCAGTTTATGCGAAGGAGAATATTAGTGCGTTTTGAAATACATAAGGTCCCAAAGGATAATTGAAAGCAGAAAAATAATTAGTGTTTGAAATAAATTCATGCATTATTTTATAGAAGTACACTGGAGTGCTGATTATAGAGAATATGATATTTGGTACCTATTTAAAGATTCACCAGTTTTGAAACTATTTTATTTTAATTTATAATTTCTCAAAATTAAAATTGAGATTCTGGTTTTCAATAGGGCAGGTTCATCATTTTCTAGCAAAAAAGCGTGTGCCTTTTTAATATCTTGAACTTTAATTGAGCTCCCGCGTCCAATAACTCGATCTGCGCTTGAACTGAAAAATTCAAGCCAGTCAAGCCGGCAGAAAAGGGAAAAAAATAAAAGTCGGAATTTTTAATTTTAAAACATACTACAGAAAATAGCAATAGTTTCCAATAGTTTTCTCCTCTTGCGTCGAAATGTCAAAACACCGCACGACGCATATTTTTTTAAACATTATGTATCTTCTTTATTTTTCATCCGATTTAAATAAAAATTTCCAAAAAACTTCTTCACATGTTAATAAACAAATGTCTCACTGGAAGTTGTGTCAACTCGAAAGTTCACCGCACACTTTTTCTCGTCAAAGTTGAGAAAACGTATTTATTGACAGGTCTGTATTTATATTAACAAATAATTTTTCAATAAACTTTTTTTAATGTTTCAATCACTTCATCGTCTTCGGTAGACCCTGATAAGTAAGTATATCAATTTTTAATTAATTTCATTAAGATTTGTTTGAGAAAAGTCGATTTATGTTTTGAAATTCAATGAAATTGAAGAATAAAAAAAATTCAGTTTTTGTCCATTATTATTAAAAATAAAAGTTCTACAGAAAAATTTCAAAGACAAAAAAGTTGGGCATTTTTATGCTCTATACGGTAGTATGTTTTAAAATTAAAAATTCCGACTTTTATTTTTTTCCATTTTCTGCCGGCTTGACTGGCTTGAATTTTTCAGTTCAAGCGCAGATCGAGTTATTGGACGCGGGAGCTCAATTATTACAACTAGGGTAATAATTTTGTTTAATCAATATTTATATTTATTTTTTTAAAATTAAAAACAGAATTTTAATTTTTTAAAAACTTACCGAGTTTTAAAGAATTTTTTTTGTTATAAATTAAACTATTATTTACTCGAAATGTATACTGCCGGTAGTAATAAAATTGTGCAACCCCAACTTTTTTTTACTTTCAACTTGAAAAAAATAAAGACTAAGATTTTTTCCTTTTTATTCTCAATAAACTGATAAAATTCTGAAAAAATGATACTAACAACAAAATTTTAATTTTTCAATCAGATATTTAACAAAAACCTCATTTTTAGTGATTTGTCTAATTCCTTTATATTTTCCAAAGAAATAAACTTTTTAATTTAATTTTAATTTTAATCATTTTTTTGTAGAATAAAGATTTTTTACACGAATTTGTAAAATGCGTTATTTCAAAAAAATATTTAAACCTTGAATAAAGTTTTGAATTAAGCATATATTTGTTTTTTAAAAATTATTTTTCAGTTGTAAAAGTACCTTTAAAATTTTTATACTTTTTTCATTCAACTTTCGTGATTTGCAATTTCTAAAGAAATGAATGTAGATAAATTCTTGTAAAAAATTTCAATTCTATGAAAAAATTCAATTTAAATGAGCCTATTTTTCAGAATTTTATCAGTTTATTGAAAAGAAAAATATTTTAGTTATTATATTTTTTAAGATAAAATTTATTTAATAGTCATAAAAAAGTAGAGGTCGCACAGTTACCGCCGGCAGCGTATCATTACAATTAAATATCAGAAGATAAATTTTTTAGAATTTTCAGGAAATTCTATCGTAAATAGAATTAAGATTGTTAATTTAATAAAACTTGGACCAATATTAGATAAAGGTTTTAATCGTCATTTCAGTGTAGTTTTTTATGATTAAAAAAATGCATGAATTATGAAGCAATGTTAATTTCTTTATAGACAAGCGATCTACTGTTTTAGGAGCAAATACATGAATGTTAATGCATATATAAATGATTTGCCGAACAAAAATTGAAGAACATTTGGTGGAAAGAAAATCGCTGAGGCCTTTTCTTAAGTGCGAAGCGAATTGTATTCGTGAATTTGCTCCTATTAATGAGAATATATTAGGCCCCAGCTCACCTCTGCAGTGGAAGGGTAGTGTCGATAAATGATGCGCGTCAATCAATGCGAGAAGGATGCGAAAAGGAGAAAATTCTAATGTAGTTGCGGGTTACTCCAGAGAAGGATCAACAGTAATTTTAGATTAAGTTTCTTCAATTATCGTTTGAAAATTATAATAGTTACTAAAAATATGCTTGATTACCATCAAAATTGTCATAATACATTTTTTTAAGAACATCAAATTCAATTAATAATTTTTTCTAATTTTGGGATTTTAAAAATTGTTTCTTTTGAAAAAACTTAATCGATTCGTTTCATAAATATAAATATTTAAGTTTATTGAAAAAATATACCTTTTGGATAGTGTTGAGCACCTCTTCTCTCACCATAGCCATGAGAAGGCCCTCGAGTTCCCTGCCCTCCTTGTCTTGGTGGAACACTTCTTGGACCTGCACCTCCGCCATGAGGGTGTCGCTGGAATTGTTACATTTTGTGAAATATTCTATTTTGTATTTATGAATTTTACAGGACTCGAACTAAATCCCTAAATCCCGTAAAAGTTCGTAAATTGTACGATATACTTTGGAGAATTTTAGAGAAATTACAAATTATTGCAGAAATTCAATTATGCTCAAAAATTTTTTTAAATTTTCGTCAAAATTTCAATTATTTTTTAAAATAATAATATTCTTCTCCAAAATTCAATTATTTTCAAAAATTGCAATAAAATTCTTGGCAAAATTTCAATTATTTTCAAACATTTTCCACAATTCAATGATTTTTAAAATCTGCTACTTTAATAAAATTTTTCAAAAGAATTCAATTATTTAAAAAAATTGTAATAAAATTCTACGCAAACATTTAAATATTTTCATAAAATAATAAAACTTTCACAGGAATTCTAGTAGAATTTTCTAATAAAAATTGATTTAAAAATGAATTTCACTAACAAATTTTAAATTATAATTTAATATTAAACGCATTATAGCGCGAGTTTTTAGAAATAATTGAATTTTAAAAAGTTTTCATATTAAAATTTTTGAAAATTTTAATTTTTCATATTTTTATCTAACAATTCTGTAGAAGAATTAATTATTTTCAAAATGTTCATTTCAAATTTAATTAAAATTATTTTTTTGAAGTTTTTTTTCTAATATATTTAATTGAAGAATTTCCGATTAATTAATTGAAATTTCGTAAAATTGAATTGTAAACAAATGAAATTGAAAATTCTTAAAGAACTTTTTCAAAAATTATTAAAAATAATGGATTTATAGAAAAATTTTAGTTAAAAGCACGAAAAAAAATTTAATTTTGGAAAAATTATTGCAAAACTTTAAATATTTTCAAAAGTAATATAATTCTTCGTAGAAATTTAATTATTTTCAATAATAATAAAATACTTTTTAGTAATTCAATTATTCTCATAAATAATAAAACACATTGTAGAATTTCAATTATTTTTAATACAATTTTAATCTAATTTCTCGAAAAATGTAATTATTCTTAATTATTAAAATTCTTCAAAAGAATTCAATTATTTAATAAATTATTTATTTTTGTATTTAAATAATTATATTCTAGTAGAATTTTCTAATAATATTTGATTTAAAAATTAATTTTAGGTAAAATTGTCGATAATAGTTAAATAGTGAATTTTTAGAAGTAATTGAATTTTGAAATTAATTTTTTTAAATAAGTTTAATTGCATTTTTTTATATTATTTAAAGTTTTTATTTTTCCTAATATTTATTTAATTGAAGAATTTACGAATAATTGAAATTTCGCAAAATTGAATATTGTAAACAAATGGATTTGAAAATTGTCAGAGGACTTTTTTGAAAATTAATTGATTTAAAGAAGAATTTTAGTTAAAAATTCTTGAAAATAATAATTGAATTGAAATTATGAAAATAATTTTGAAGAAGTGCAATATTCTTATCTTTCTTATAATATAAAATAATGATTTTACTACTGGGTCATCTTTATTTATTCTAAAACATGAAGAAATCGAAGACTCGGAGTTATCGATATCTTCATGTTTTATAGGTATGACAAATTTAATTTATAGTTTTAAGTAAAATGTTCTTTTATTTGACTCAGACTGGTTATATTTTTGTCAGTATAATTGGTTCGTAAATGGTCCGTAAATTTTCATTTTTGGTCCATAAAGTCCGTATTTTTAAATGACCTGATTTTATTTTAATTGAATATAATATGTTATGTCATTAATATAATCCTTTTTATTTTTTTGGGGAAAAACTTAAAAAATATGTTTAAATTTGAATCTAAATTAATTATTTTCAAAATCAGGAGAATATTTTCGCGTTGAGAAAAATCAACATTTTTTAAACTTTTTTATATAAAAATAAAAACTAATTAATATTTTAATAAAAAAAAATCTTTCAAAATTAAACACATTTACTTACCATGCGTCTTAAAGTGTTCATAGGCCTTCTTAGAGTATCACTAATTCGTCTGGCCGGTGGTTTCTTCGGATTATTTGAAGGAGTATGAACAGCACAGCATTTTATGAAGAAACCCATGAAAATAATAAAGGCTATTCCCATCAACACAACAGCCCACCAATATTCCTATTGAGAAAAATTACATATTTCATGGTATGAAAATGATAATTGTAAATATTATTTTTATCGCCATTCACATGAAAGAGTGTCTTTTTGGACCTGTTTTGGGCAAATAAAGTAGCACTTTTTAAGGCAGTTCTGCACAACTGCCATAAAAAGTCTTCTTACTGTAGTTGTTGATTTTTGTTGATTTTATTTTTTTGTGAATGAACTGAAAAAATTGTTCCACAAGTTTAAATTAATTTGTTTATAAAAAAAATTTTTTTTAGTTTTTTTTAATATTTCACTTTTTCATATCAGTGGCGAAAAATATAGTGTCTGCTATTTCTTTCTTCAAATTTACCGTGGCCCATTGTGCAACAGTCGATAAAGTATCTTTATTAAAAAGTAGATTCTTTAATTTAGCGAGAGGACCTTCAGCATCAACTGCTCTACACTTTAAAAATACGTCACAATAACCCTGGAAGTAAATGATATCACATATATTAATATATATATTAAAAAAGGAAACGAATTCACAGAGAGAAAACTTAATAAAAAAAATTACTTGAAAATTGTCACACGGTGAACCAGGCCTCAAACTAATTCCACCTTCAGGTAGTCCAACAATATTAGCGAATTCACTAGTACTACGACAAGTTGTCGTATCGGTTCCATTTTGACATGCCAACTCGCACAATTTCCTTTTGTCAATATTAGGAATAATATTACTAGTCAAAAAGCATTCTGTCATATTCCATTCTAGACAAATCGATCCAGTGCACTCTCCATTAATACACAACTGTAAAAAAAAAGTGAAATTAGTACAGATTCAGTGATTTTTTTCCATGTAGAACAAGTTTATTTACACCCAGAAAAAAGATTATTGTTTCAAACAAAAAAATCGTTTTTTGAAATCATTTTTTAAATTGAAGATAAAATTTGTTTGAATTGAAAAAAAAAATATTTTTTTATATCAAAATTGGATTTTTTATATTAACTTTATTTTCATTTTAAAGTACATACTTTTACCTGAAAAATGTGTATATTTCATAAAAACCGATGTACAATATTCCGAGATATTAAAAATTTTATAAAATTAATATAAAAATTCAAAATGGGATATCTTCTGAAATTTTGAATTTTTTTAAAAATAATTTGGAGAAAAAAATAGTTCTCTTATATAGAACTATGATTCCACCAAGTTTCGCAAAAATCGGTCTACTTTTTACAAATCGTGATATTTCTGACGTGAAAAGGTGAAATGAAAAAAATGACGATAAAATGTGATTTTCATTGGAAATTCACACTCTATGAATAATACTGAAAAATGGGAATTAACCTGAGTTCCTTCGTTACATCTTGTTTTATTGGCTTTAGGCAATGGAACAGGACATTCAGGCGATCTTCCATTACAGGTAGAATTGTAGCTGCAGTCCGATTCCACTTTACATTGAACTCTATGAGAGAGTGGAACGAATTGGCATGTTTCGCTTGAGCAGCAAGGACCTTGGCTGGGACTGAAAAACGAACGTGATGCAATTGTAATCTAATGTAAACTATTAGTCAGTTTCAATGATAAATTCTTAACAATCTTCATAACTAGTCTACAAATATTATACTCAGTAACTTGACAAAGTAAAGAGCTATTTAAAACTTTGACTCTCAACTTGCCTTCATTTAGAAAATAAAATTTAACTAAATTTCTAAATTTAACTAATTTAAATTTAATTTTAATTTAATTTAAATTTAACTAAATTTAACTAAATTTCTATGCAATTAAATTAAATTTTCAAAATTTTTACCACATTAGGCTTCGCACTCGATAATTACTTTTAGAAAAGTAACAAAAAAATTAATTTTTCTAAACTTCAATTACAGTAGAACCTCGGTTATCCGAGCCTCGATTATCCGAGATTCCGGATTATCCGAGGCACTAAACATGCTCGGATAAAACGGATCGAGCGACTAAATTTGGAAAATAAATTTTACAAAACCACTATTTGTGATCATTGCATTTAAAATTTCGTCCATTTTTGTCATTTAATATTATTCTAACACTTTAAACACATGAAAAATAATTTAAAATTTTGAAATTTTCATTGGTTCCGTGTTATCCGAGTTTTCGATTATCCGAGGTACCTCTTCCCCACATTACCTCGGATAATCGAGGTTCTACTGTATTTTACAAATTTTTAGATAGAATTCTTCAAAAAATACGATTATATTTAAAAATAATTTTTAAAAGTCAAGTGAAAAAATAAAATTCTTTACAATATAAAATTTATTTTTGAATCAAAATTTACAAAAACTTCAAAATTGCGAATTTAATTTAATATTTTTAAATTATTTACAAGAATTTAACTAACTTCAAAAAATGTTAACTACAATTTTTTAAAAGCCAAATTTTTTTCAAAACTTCTAAATTAAATCATTGAAAAATTGAATAATTTTTTTCTATTTATATTCAAATATTTATTTTTCTACAGGAGTTAATATTTTAAATAATTTAAATATAATAACCAAATTAAAATTTAACTATTTCTAAAAATTACAAATGTAATTCTTTCGAAATTTAATTATTTTTTGGGAATTTTTAAATAAAATAATTTAAAACTTTAATAATTCTTTTGAAAACTAGTAAATAATTAAATTTTTATGATGAATATTTAAATATTATTACAGTTTTACAACAATTAAAATTTTCAAAGACCAGTCAATTTGAAATTTTTTTGAAATTTAATTATTTCTAAAAATTTATATTTTAACGCTTTTCATATTTAATTGTTATCTACAATATTTTATCTGAAATTAATTTTTAAATCATTTCTTGTTAGAAAGTTCTACGAGAATTCAATTATTTAAATAGAAAAATAGATAATGGATTGAATAATTGATTATTTCTGAAAATTGAACTTTTATAAAGTATTTTACTTAAATTTAAAAAAATAATTGAATTCTTTCAAAGAATTATTTGAATAAAATAATTATTAAATTCAAAGATTTGAATTTCAATATTTTAAATTCATGATATCTTTAAATTATAAAGCTTTAAATATTCAATTATTATCTAAAACTTAAACTGAAATTCATTTTTGAATAAGTTTTTATTAGAAAATTATATGAGAATTCAATTATTTAAACTCAATAATTAAAAGTTTCTTAAAACTGAAATCTTATAAAGAATTTTATCACCAAATTTTTAAATAATTAATAAAATATCAAAATTTAAAAAAATAATTAATTGCATCCTTGCGAAGAATTTGAATAAAACTTTTGAGAATAATTGCATTCTTTGAGGAATATATTTACAATTTTCAAAAATTTTTATGAAAATTGTATTTTAAATAATTGGAAATGTGTGAAAATTTTATTATTTATGAAAATAATTGGAGTTTTTGGAAAGAATTAAAAAAAATTTTTTTTTAATAAAATTGAATTCTTGTGTGAAATTTTATTAAAATAGTAGATAATGAAAATAATTGAATTTCAGCGAAAAATTTCATAATTTCGGAAAATAATTGAATTCTTGAGAGAAAAGGGAATGTTCTTAAAATTTTTGAGAAAACTTTCTTTATTTCAATTATCAGCGGATTTAAGCTAATGAAAATTTAAAAAAAAATAAAAAAGTAGCTTTTAGTGTCAGAAATCTGAAAAAAGCATCTAAATAGTACCAAATTGTAAAAAAGTAGTAAATAGTAGTTTTTAGTAGATGAGTGCGAAGCCTGCACATTAAAATAATCTAAATTTTCTATTAAATTGAAAAAAATAATTCGTATTGAAATTTTCATCGTAAATACCTGCACTGAGTCTTTTCTCTTCTCTTGCAACTTTTGGCATCACTGTTTAGTTTATCAATGTCAGACAATACTCGTGGATAACAACACTTTTCTTTGCACTCGCCATCATCGTAGCCACAATCACATTCCTCGCCTGCCTCGACAATTTTGTTACCACAAAATGCTCCAGCGGAAGCTGAAAAGCAATTCTTTTTCTTTTTGTCATCAATTGCATCCAACACATTGCTGATATTTCCAATACTGCACTTTGAAAATTTACTATTATTTGGGCGATCGCCACTCGTTGCTGAGGCGAACATTATATAATTTCCATGAAGTCCGCCTGGTCTGCATTCAGGTGGAAAATCATGCTGTAAAAAAGTATCAAATCAGTTTCTGTTTTACTTAATCAGGGTTGCCACAAAAATGTTATTTTATTTTTCCCTGACTTTTCCCTGATTTCCAGACGAAATTTTGACTTTTTCCCTGACCCTGAAGAATATTCTGATTTACCCCAAAAATTATTAGATACTCGAAAAAATGTACTATTACATTAATTTACGAATTTCTTTCATTGTAAAATTATTCGAAAATATCAATAGGCTTCTTTTTTAAATAAACATTTAATCATTATTTTTCTATAGAAATTAAGATTTTCAAATTCAAATCTACTGAAATTCAATTACTATAATATAAATTTAAGATGACAGAGTGATAAAATCATTATTTTATATATAAGAATATTCTAACTATAAATTCAAATTTTCAAAGATTTTAATTTGAACACTTTTAAAAATTCAATTATTTCTAAAAATTCACGCTATAATGCTTTTAATATTCAATTATAATTTAAATTTTTAAGTAAAATTCATTTTTAATCAATTTCTATTAAAAAATTTTTCGAGAATTCAATTATTTAAATACAAAAATAAATAATTTATTAAATAATTGAATATTTCTTGAAATTGAATTTCTATAAAGAATTTTATCAAAATATTTAAAAATAATTGAATTCTTTCGGCGAATTTAAAAAGTAACTTTAAAAATAAATGCAATTTTCTATCATTTTATTTAAAATTGTATAAAAAATAATTGAAATTCTGCGATAACTTTTGTTATTTATAAAAATAATAGAATTCTTGCAACGAATATTATTAAAAATCTTTTTAAAGAATTGAATTCCTGTGAAGAATTTTATTAGTGAAAATAATTGAATTCCGGAGATTTAAAATATTTTATTCAAATTTTTTTTAAATAATTGAATTTCTCAGAATTTTTAAAAATTTTTTGAAAAAAAAAAATTCTATCGAGAAATTTTATTAAAAAAAAAAATTGAAAATAATTGAAATCTGACGAAGAATTTTATTAAATTTTTTTTTAATAATTGAATTCCCGTGAAAAAATTTATTTTTGAAAAGAATTAAATTCTTGGGAAGAATTTTATTAAAATTTTTTTAATAATTGAATTGCTTCGAAGAATTTTATTTTTTACGAAAATAATTTAATTGTTTCGAAGAATTTTATTTTTACGAAAATAATTAAATTGTTTCGAAGAATTTTATTTTTTACGAAAATAATTGAATTGTTTCGAAGATTTATATAAAAATTTTTGACAATAATTATATTCCTAAAAATAATGTTATATTTTACGAAAATAATTGTATTCTATGATCAATTTTATTATAATTTTTCAAATTTATAAAGCATTTTATGAAAATTTTTTTAAATAATTGATTTCTCGAGAAAAATTTTATTATTTATAAAAATAATTGATTTCTTGCGAATAATTTTATTCAAATTTTTTTAAATAATTGAATTCCCATAAAAAATGTATTATTTGTGAAAATAATTGAATTCTCAAGAAGAATAATTGAAAATAATTGCATTGTATAGAAAAATTTTATTAACTAAATCTTGTAAAGAATTTTGTCAACATTGTTTTAAATAATAGAATTTTTAAAAGAATTTTATTTAAATTTTTCGAAATAGTATAATTTCTCAGTTAAAATTTTTTTAAAATAATTTTTTGGAAAATTTTTATTAAAATAATAGATATTAAAAATAATTAAAATGCGGAAAATTTTTGAAAATAATTGAATTTTGGAGAAGAATTTTATTATTTAGAAAGATAATTGAAATTTCGACAAGAATTTAAAAAAATTTTTGAACATAATTGAGTTTATGCGAAGAAGTTTATCACTTTTGAAAATAATTGAATTTCTGTAATCAGTTATTTTTAAAATTTCTATTTAAAGTCATTAAAAATTGAAATTTTCTAAAATTTTAAATTAAAACCTTTGAAGTTCATCTATTTATGAAAATTGTAAACGCAACTCTATTGAAATCCAATTAATTTTGAAATTTCTAAGTAAAATTATTTATTAAATTATTTATAAGTTTTTTTTTTTATTATCTATAAGAAAATTTAATTTTTTCCAGTACTTTTAGTAAAAATCCCTGACTTTTCCCTGAATTCCCTGTCCCGTGGCAACCCTATTAATATTTTATAATTATTAAAAAAATTAAATCATTTATTTTAAAAAGTTATTTTAAAAAGAGTTTTAAAAGATATTAATAGTTTAAACCGACAGACTAGCTCAGCCGGATAGATGCCTCGCTTGGCGATCGTTTAAGGACCAAGGGTAAGTACCCTTGGTTCGCGCCCACTTGGCTTGGTATTTTTCCGGCACGTGAGACAATCTGAGCGGGAGGTTTGACGTCGAGGTATAATGATGTGCACCGTCGATTATAGTCCGGTACACACCATTAGAACTCGACTGTCGATAAACCGGTTGTACTCAGGAGAGGTTTTCTACAGTTTCCCTCTCCACTGGCGAGAAAACCCATTAGACGGGTGGTCCAGGCAAATGCGAGTACTCCTAATTTTCAAGTCGCTCTGTAGGCGCAAAACTTAGTATTAGGAAAATGTATATAAGAAATATTATGTAAGAGAAAATGTAAACACACTTGTATAGCTAGATAAGCTTAAGACGGGTGTATAAACCAAATAAATAAATAAATATTAATAGTTTAATCGGGATGCATGAAAATTCTGAACACAAACTTAGAAGAATTTTTTGGTGTAAATCACCATGTTTGGTGAACGATAAGTACAATAATATTTGGACGAATTTCCTTTTAGCGAAATATTTAATAGAATTTCTACGTAGTCGAATTTTTCATTTGCAGAATTTCCTTTATACTGTATCTTTTTCTGATCAAAATTTCATACTTATGAATTGTTATGTTAGTAATAACATAACAAATTTTAACTTTTGAAACACCTAATTTTCATTTGACCGAAATTTCAAACGTCCGTACAAACAGATAGAAATATTTGAATACGGATTTTAAAACTGACGAATCAGAAATTTTAAAAAATATGGTGAAAATTCAATTTTAAAATTCTACAATTTAAAAATTCGATCAGAACTGCGAAAATTCTTTTGCGTTCAATGAGAGAAATTTTCATACGTCCATAGTTTAATTTATTATGGTAGATTTATCTGAACTAACCGGTGAACCAAAATTGTGTCCAATCTCGTGGGCTAAAGTCAGCTGCGAAACTTTAGGAGGCACTCGACTGTTGTAATTAACGAAAGTAATTATCCCGGTGTTGAGGGATCTTTTAGTGGATTGATATGATCCGCCAACTGTTTCTGTGTAGGTTTTGTATCTTTCACAGATTCCACCGGAAGCTCCAGATGCTGATGCTACCCACGCAAGACCAAGAGTACCACCAGTAAAATCTCTACAATTAAAAATTAATATTTAGAATAACATGAAAAAAGTACACTTCAAAAAGACATTTCTTCAAACCGATCAAAAATTGATTCTAGTAAACTATTCAACAATAATTGAGCGACAAGAATGAAAAATTATCCAAACATCAAATATTTTTTTACACCAACAAATTAATGTTTATATTAATTTTAAACAATGAAAAACACAATTTTAACAGAATTTTAATATTTTTTTTGAAAATATTGAACTTACATTCATTTGAAGCATCTAATAGATAAATTTGAAAAAAATGCGTGTAAATTTAAATCGAATGAAAAATTCTTTGCTCGAAAGAAGCGCGCTTTCATTTCAATGAATGATGTTATTGCGGGCTGCATAATTCATTAAACTTTTAATTCAATATGCGATTGTTCAAAAAATAAATAATTTAAATCTCAAGCTGCAGATAGTAAAAAGTAAACTATTATCTAAACTTCATAGATTAAAATACAGGAAGCACGCGAATGATGCAACCCTACTTTCATACAAAATATTTTTGAATATAATAAAAGAAAAATTAAGTATTCAATTCAATGATTTCCATTAATAATTATTAGATTAATAGATTCGCAAAACAAAAACCTAACAAACTTTTTTTTCTTATGCTGCACTCAAACTTCTTTTAACCAATTTAAATAAAAAATCATCGGAAAATAATAAAATTCAAAATATAGCATTGAAAAAGTTACCAATGAATATTGCAGACTTCGCACTCGATAATTAATTTCAAAAAAGTAGTAAAAAGTAGCTTTCTTGCGAAGAATTTTATGAAAAATTTTAAATAATTGATTTCTTTCGACTAATTTTATGCAATTTCTAATTTAAATAATTGAATTCCTGGGAAATTTTTTTATTCATAAAAAGAATTGAATTAAATTAAATTCTTAAGAAGATTTTTACAAAAAAATTCTTTAAATAATTGAATTCTGTTTGGAAATTTTATGAAAATAGTAAATATTGAAAATCATTGAATTTCGAAAAGTTTTTAAAAATAATTAAATTTTACAAAGAATTCTATTAAAATTTTTCAGAATAATTGAATATCTGCGTGGCATTTTATTAATTTTTTTTTGAAAATAATTGAATTCCTAAAAAGCATTTTTATTATTTATGAAAATAATTGAATTCTTGTGAACGATTTTATTGGAATTTTTTAAAATAATTGAATTTCCAAGAAAAAATTTATTACTTTTAAAAATAATTATATTCTTGTGATGAATATTATTATTTATGAAAATAGTTGAATTTTGCAAAGAATTTTATTAAAATGACTCAAAATAATTGAATTCTTCGGAAGAATTTAATTAAAATCAGAAAAAGTAATTGAATAAATTTCAAAAAATTTAATTAAAATTGTATTTAATTGTATTGATTTCTTTCGAACAATTTTGTTAAAATATTTGAAAATAATTGAATTCCTGCGAAAAATTCTAATACTTCTGTAAATAATTAAATTTTTCCAAAGAATTTAAAAAAAAATTTTTTTTAAATAATTCATTTTTTTGAGGAATTGAAATTCATTTTTTTAGAATAATTACATTTTTTGATCAATTTTTGTAAAATTTTATTAAAAATAATCGAAATCCAGCAAAGAATTTTATTATTTATGAAAGTAATTGAATAGTTGTTAAGAATTTTATTAAAATTTTTAAAAATAAATGAATTCCTGAGAAGAATTTTATTATTTATGAAAATAATTGAATTATTGCGAAAAATTGTATTAAAATGCTTAAATTAATTGAATTTCTGTGAAAAATTTTGTTATTTTTGAAAATAATTGAATTATTTTTCATAAGAATTTAATGAACATTGGTTTAAATAATTAATTTTTTCGAAGGTATAATAAATATGAAATTTTTTTTTAAATAATTGAATTCTTGTGGAAAACTTTATTAGCGAAAATAATTGAATTTTTCGATTAAATTATTTAAAATAGTATTAAAAATGATTGAAGTTATCCGATGATTTTTATTATTTATGAAAATAATTGAATTCTTGCTAAGAATTTTTTGAAAAATTTTTTTAAAAAATTGAATTTTCATGAAAAATGTTATTATTAGTGAAAGTAATAAAAGAAAAATGAAGAATTGTATAAAAATTTTGTTAAATAATTGATTTTTCCGAAATTTTTTTGAAAATGCTATTCTAAATTAATTGAATTCTTGTGGAAATTTTATTATTTACGAAAACAATTGAATTTTGGATGAATTTTATCAATTTTTTTAAAAATAATTGAATTCTTTTGCGAAATTTTATGAAAATTCTAGATATTGAAAATAATTGAATTTCAAATATTTTTTTTAAAAATAATTGAATCGTTTTAAAGAATTTAATTATAATGCTGTAAATTAAACGCCGGATTCAAAATAAAAAGAAATCAACATCTATTAGGATTCCTTTAGCTATTTTTAGACATATTTACTAGGGTTCCAAAAAAATATATTTTTTAAATTAATGAATAAAAACTAAAAAAAATATAAATAAGATATATATACACAAATAATGCTTTAAACCATTCCGTGAACAGAAAGTGTCGTCTTTTGTTTTTCTATAGTAATTAATATTTTGATAGAAATTTTGGTTATGAGTATTTTTTAAAAGAATTAACAAATTTTCGTAAATTTTATTTTTTAATCATATGTACTTATTGATCGTGATTACAAAAATAGAATATTGTTAGAAAAAAGAAAAATTTTGAAAATTACCTTTATTAGAAAAATAAATTTTTAGAAAATTAGCTTTATTAGAAGACAGAAAATTTCAAAATCAGCTTTATTAGAAAAAAAATTTTAGAAAATACGATTTAGAAAAACTAACTAACTAACTATCCCAACCATTATTAGAAACATAAGAATGAAAATTAAAATATTTGCAGAAATTATAATTTAAATCTTTTGAGTTTGAATTTTATTACATTTATATGAGCTTAAAAAATGTTTGAGGGATTTCATATAAGAAAATTACATGTATAAAAATTATATTTGAAACTTGAGTTGAGTAGAGGCATGTTTTTTCATTTGGTAATTATATTTATTTTAATAACAGAAGCCATTAAAAAATCGCAAAAGGATCCAAGGCAAGAAAAGTAGTAATTTTGATTTTTCGATGATTTTCTAAAAATCTCGGTATTTAAACTAAATTATCATGTCCACCCCTTGGAAGCAATTTTTTTCGTTTGCTAATTATTTATTTTAATGTTAGAAGTCATTAAAAAATTTTGCAAGAAGATCGAAGGCGGGGAAAGCAGTGATTTTAATTTATTTTATATTTTAGGATTTCTGAAAAATCCGTGACAAAAAATAAAAATCATTGCTTTTCCCGCCTTCGATCTTCTTGCAATTTTTTTAAATGTCTTCTGAGGCGTGGAAACGATAATATAGTTGAAATACCGAGATTTTTTTAAAAATCATAACTATTGTAAACATGCAAGAATATAAATTTAAATTATTAAATTTTTTCTGTGGAAAGCAGGTAGGCAGATTGCTACTGTGATAATTCTTTAAATCATTCACGCGCGCGTAGGACTTTGCTAGTACACAAATAATGCTTTAAACCATTCTTACCTGTAAGTGAACACATAAGCCAAACAAAAATCCTCATGATTTCCTAACGAGTGAAGATTCAAAAAATTGCTAACATCAATATTTTCCATACAAAATTGATTCTGTTCGGAATTATTTGGAGGCGTTGTACGTGACGTTAAACGAGAAGTCGAACGAGATGTTGTGCGAGATGCAGTATGTGTTGGAATGCATGACGAGTCGTCATCAATCTTTATGAAACATAATAATCAACATTATTTTCGAAAAATAATAATTATTGCAGTCTAATAAACATTATTTAGTCTTTCGTCAATCTTTTTATTTAATTCAGTTGAAGAAAGTGAAAAAAGTACCTTTATTCTCTGAACTTCAAATTTAATATTTCTATGTTCTTCCCTCCCATCAAATCTTGTGTCTCTATAAATATAATTAACGGCAGTGACATGGTGTGCGATTAATGATAAAATTTCTTCTTTAGTCTTTTCTGGATCTTGATGGAGCTGAGAAATAATTTTTTTGTGATAAAATATAATAATGATAAGTAGATTATAAGAGATAATAAATAATAAATGGAAACATCAAGAATTGATGATTACCTGCTCGGTTATATGTCTCCATATTAAGGGATCCGTTTGAATAAAAAGTGAGCATGTTGTATTTTTATTTTCCTCCTTTGGTTTTGTAGCTCTTTTCGATCTTTGACTAAGATGATCATTGGCTTCCTTACTGTACTTATGACTTGGAGTTTCGCCATCTCCACTCCAAGGTTTTACCTTAAAATTATTATTTACAGAATTAAAACAAATTTGTAAATTTCAGATAAAAAGCAACAAATGTGATCTGAAAGAAGTGCAAAAAGACATTCTGGCAATTATTATTTATCATGGAGTTTTAAGTAGCAAAAAGCTACAACATCAATTGTGTTCAAGTGCTAAAAACTCTTGGTGCTTTTTTCAAGCCAAAAATGCTACCTATATGTTTACCACTTGGATCTCCAATTGAAAATGTTAGAACTCCTGTAAATAAGTTGGTAAGTAAGAAGACTACACTCTCGGGACATTGGATTTGGAGAAGCTAAATAGATAACAATCAGTGAGCAGATTATTAATTAAGAGAGCATTCTAACCTTTGGAATTTTGTCTTGTTTTGTTTTTGGTGGTGGTGGTGGAGGATCAGGTTCGCCGGAATTCTGAATGTTATTCATCCACTGTATCACATCTTCAGTAATTCCACAGCCTCCAGAACCTGAAATTATAAACAAGAATCATACGATTCGCATTACATTACTATTGCATTTCCCAGTTTGCAACCGTGTTGCTGCATGGATTAAAAAATCTTTTAGATTCAGAAGAGGCCCACGGTTCGTTGTCAAATTTTGTAAAAAGTGTCTGTGTTTAGTGAAAAACTTGTTAAAAAATGATTATTTACCAATTTCATGTCGTCTAAACCGGTCACAGCCGATTGATTTTTTTAATCCATCCAGAAACGCGGTTGCAGGATTGGAAATTCAAAAGTAATGTAATGACAGGCGGCAAGAAGTGTGTTACAGCCATTTTGCCAGTGGAGGGCAGAAACATGCAGGGAGCGAAAAGGCTCAGCTGTCAAAATGATTCGCATTACATTGCTACGGTAATTCCAATGCTGCAACCGTGTTTCTGCATGGATTAACAAAATCTTTTGAATTCAGATAATTAAAAACATTTGTGACAAATCAACGTTGTCATATTTTATAAAAAGTGCCTGTGAACAGAGGGAAATTTGTTAGAAAATGAATATTTACCAATTTCACGTCATTTAAACCGGTCAGTGCCGTATTTGTTGGGTGATGACTGTTAGTCGCACTTTATCGAGAAATCTTGATTTGAAAATTGAAAATGATTTTTCTTCCAATGCAGACAGTTTTTGCAAAATCGGAAAAAATACTAGATTTCCTGAATATTTTATGTTTCATTTGCGCACAAAAAGTAAAAGATTTATTTCCATTTACAACGACAGAAAGTAAAACAGAAAAAAGTTAAACAAATGTGCGGTACATAAAATTACCGCCAGAGGGCAGCACCTGATGAGCACATCAAATTTTCTCATTTTACTTCCTGACGTCCCACTAACGAGGAAAGAAGAAGAAGAAGACTTCCTGACGTCGTGTATTATATTGGATTTTCAATTTCTTGTGCATAAAATGACAGAACAAAAATTCATTTAATACCTATCTGGTATTTTTTCTCATTTTTCAATAACTGTCCAAATAGGGAGAAAAATCCTTTTAAAATTACGTTTCGCGTTCAAGCAGTTATTTTTAAAAGTCGACCACTGTATGAATTTGCGCAACATCGTTAAATTGAATTCTTACAAAAAATTTCATTAACAAATTTATTATTCAAATAGTATATAATAATTCAAATGAAATTTTTTTAAAACTATTTGTAATTTTTAAAATTTATTTCTTTTTATTTAGATTAAATTATTAATTCGGTATTACTTTTAATTTTTCTAAACTTTCTATAATCAAAAAATTAAATTAATATTTATAATATTTAATAATAATATTGTTAATATTGTAAAAAATGTTTTCAAATCTATGATAAATACAATAGTATTTATCATAAGTAAAAGAAATTTTAAATGTTTCGCCTCTCCCGCTTTTTTCACTGTAACCTATAAAGGCGCTAGCACAGCTCCTACTGCCTGCCTGCCTGCAGGTTGACATGGTAACACATAAGAGTAAGAGAGTCAAAAAATTCAAATTAAATGTTTTTTCTCTCTCACTCTTATGGCGCCTGCCTGCCTGCGCCTTAAGCGTGCCTCTAAGAAGCAACGTTGCCAAGTGTCGTGCTTAGTAACTTCTGATTGATAAAAAAAGGTGTTTTTTATACAAAATAATTAATTTTGAGTCTCACAGGTTGTGACTGATCATTTTTTTGGACAATATTTAAACATGAGTTATTTAGCTTTAACTGTAAAAAGTTACATCAATATTTCGCTGTCATTTTTCTCACAATTGAATTTTAAAGATCATGAAAGTGCATTTTCCCATAAGACACAATGTAAAATGTGAAAACATAAAATTGTTTATAACTTTTCTTATACATTGTGCAGACCTCAAAAAATTTAACTACATATTTTTTAAACCAACATCTACCATTATTCCAAGTTTCATCAAAAACTCGCTGTGAATTCTATTTCCGAGGGTACTTCCTCATTAAAATGACAATCCTTAGATGTGGCATTAAATGGCATTAATATACAAATCTTCTCAAGAATAACATCATTCAACGGTATTAAAATGTCATAATGTAATTTAATTTTTTTAAGAGATAAGCATTTTAATAGGGATTCTCAAAATAATAAATAATATCAAGAAAAGTATTAAAAACCAATTAATTTATCCACATTTCTTTAATTTCACAAATTCCATCACTTTTTAAAGTAGGGGAGACTAAGCGCGGTTGTTACAATTTTGATAAAAACAGTTACTGTGATAAAAGTTTAACTCCAATTTGTTTGGTCAAACTATTAAATCAAAGGTATATTATCTAGCTTTGAAAGGCAATAATTGATTTAGCTCTATATCTATTATTTAAATAACTAGAAGCATTTTAGTGACAGCGTGTAAATTGTAATAACTGCCCAAAGTGAATGTCGGTTGTTACAATACCAAGAATCTGGTACTGACGCCGGTGTAACTGTACTGGCTGGGAACCGCCTGCCAACCGAATGTGAACGGGCATTCTACCGAATAGTGACTAGGCCAGGAGCGCGCTGGCAACCGGCTCGGAACTGGGATTCTACCGCCCGCTGACCGGCCGGGAGAAGCCGTTCCGTGTATAATTCAACCGGCTGGGATCTGGCACTCTACCGACCGCGGATTTTTCATTTAACAGCCAGCTGAGCGCTGGCATTCTACCGACTGACAACCGGATCGGATCCAAATGATAATTTCAACAAATATCAATAAAAAAAAAAATAATTAATTGCAAAAGATATTTATTTTTTATCTGATGACAATTCATTGACAGTTCACTTTACACATTTTTTTTATTTTTTTATACACTTAAACCCAATTTTTTATTACATACACATTTGAAAAATCCTAACGCTTGGAGGTACGAACCTACGCCTAACCGAATATTTACGCACCGAAATCTCGCACGCTAACCACTATGCTACGCTCGCATGGAACTCTCAAACCTTAAATACTCTCAAGTGTCACAAGCTGAAATGAAACTTGTCGAATATATAACTACGCGTCAATGCTACAGCTATATTTTTATTATTATATAACATATTAAATAATTGTATCTCAATATAATAATATTGAACATATTAATATTAATAATTTTAATTAATATCACAATAATAATAAATTTATTATCATTGAGATATTATTAATTAACATTAATATTATTGAGAATTAATAATAAATTATTAACATGAATATTAATATTTATTAATGTTAATAATTTATTATTAATTCTCAATAATATTAATTAATAATATCTCAATAATAATAAATTTATATTAATAGTATAAATTTATTTATAATAATTATAAAGTATAAGTAAAAACAAATTTTTTAATTGTTTAATTTTGAAAAAACTCTCAATAAATAATTACTTAATATTTTGATTAAATTCATTTATTAATTAATCATTATTTTCTAAAATAATGCAATTAATTATTGTAATAATTATTTAGTTATGACACATTTATTGAAAATAAATTTATAATGTGATTTATAATGTGACAATAAATGACGACATCCGCAGTCGGATCCGGCCCAGCACCGACCCAGTACAGACTTAACATATCCGTCATTCTTCCGACGCCGCAGAAGAATAAGATCCGCCGGCGGAAGAAATCCAGTACCGAGCCGGTACTGACAATAGTGGGAAGACGGATCCGACAGTCGGAGCATAATCTGTACCGCGCCGGTTGCTTTTTCAGATCCGAATCGGTACAGACCGTCGGTACTTGCGGTCTGTACGGGCGCGGATCCCAGCCGGTTGTAAATTCCGACATTCGTCCGACTTTTCCGCCTGGGCAATATTTTAAGAGCATTTTTGTGCATTAGTTGTTTTAAAAAATGTTACTTCTGTGATATTTTTTAATAAATTAGCTATTTGTTGCTAATTTTAAAGACATTTAGAATAAAACTGAAGTTACCAACGTTGATTCAACGAAAAAATTTTTAAAAAAATTTTCTACTGAAAGTTGAGGATACAAATTTTTTTTGTTTATTTTTAACTTTAAAACTTTAAAATAAAAAAAGGTGGGGGAACAGAAGTTGTTATTTTTTTCTCACGGATTTTCCAAAAATCACATTTCAACTAAATTAATAATTCCTCGCCCCGGTAGACATTTTTTTCTTTTGATAATTACTTATTCTAATGTCAGAAGCCATTTAAAAAAAATTTCAAAAGGTTCCAAGTCGGGGAAAACAGTGATTTTGGTTTTTCTGTCACGGGTTTTTCGAAAATCCGAGAATTTGAAGTAAATTAATAATTCTTCGCCTCGGTACACGGAAAAAATTAATTTAGTACATTTTACGAAACTAATTTTGGAATAGCGGATACGGAGAGGAGTTTAGTATAAGATAAAACAGAATCAATAGTAATATATGATGACTGCGTTTCTCGAAAACTCAAAAAAAATTCTATGGAATTCACAAATGATCGGTTGGACGTTCTAATTCAAGAGTTTTGTAAAATGTTTAGCCTGAAGCGCATGCGCCACGGAAAAAAATATTCACGGAGAAAAAAACGAATAAAGCAGAAAAAAGAATTTCTTAATGTACCAATGAGCTCTCAAGACCATTTTTTCTCGTCTTCTATAGGAGATAGATGATTGGTTCGACACATGTGACTGCACTCTACAACGCAATGGTTCGCTTGGATTGGCTTATTTTATTCTGACACTAACTTAACGGAAATACGCATACATATAAACGAATTCTGACGCAACGCACATACAATATAACTCGCACTTGTAGATGAAAGAATTGAGTTTCTTTATATACTAACTGAGGAGATTAAAACTGCGCTTGTGAGAAATGTCAATATACTGAATATTAATTTTTAAAAAAATCATTTTTTTAAAAGTTATACAAAATATTTTATGGTTTTTAAAATAACATTTTTTGATTATAATTAGTTATAAAATCTCTATAAAATTTTTCAATTTTTAGAAAATAATTTTATTCTTAATTTTAAATTATAAATAAATTGACAAAAAATTTTCAAAATTAAATTCAAACTCAAAAAATGTTTATATTAAATTGTCTAAAATTTGAAGTAATAACAGTTAAAACTTGAGAAATTAATATATATATTGTCATCGGTAAATATTATGATAAACTATAAAATTTATTGGACTGTAAATTAAAAGAAATTAATAATAATTAAAAGTTTGGATTACAAAAGCACATAAAAAATGTTACGAATTTGGAACAATGAAATGTGAAATACGTAAAAGAAAACAATTATCCAAATGTTACCGGCAGGTAAAGCAGTTCTCTTTTTCCTTCCACATATTATATCTATATACAGCAGACAAGTTAATACCGACGCGACGAGACAAGCTTCAACATATCTATTTATAACGCGACTTTTGGTACACCCCGTATAGAATTTTACGAAACTTTGTGTTCGAGAATTCACGATAGACAGCGAAGTGGAAACTCAAACCACGCGTTTTTAGATTGCACGAAACATTTTTACCATTTTCTGATAAAATGTTCACCAGAAAATACGAAACATTTCTACATTCAAGCTTGTTTTATAAATTACAACACTGGTTGCAGTTTCTCGACAATTGTTCTGCTTAAAGTAGTGAAAGTTTCTGGGTTTTTGAAAAACTTCGTCTAGGAATCTTAAATATCCGCTAGTGCGAAATTAGTTTCGTAAAATCTGCTGAACTTATTTTTTCCGTGTAGCAATTTTTTTCTTTTGATAATTGTTTATTTTAATATTAGACGCTATTTAAAAAAATTCCAAGTAATTCCAAGTCGAGGAAAGCAGTGATTTTGAATTTTTTTGTACCACGAATTTTTCAAAAATTTCGAAATTTCAACTTAATTAATAATTGCTCGACTCGGTAGCAATTTTTTCTTCTGATAATTATTTATTTTAATGTCACAAGCCATTAAAAAAAACTCCAAGTGGTTCCAAGTCGGGGAAAGCAGTGATTTTTATTTTTTAAATGAAATTCTGAGATTTTTGGAAGAAATACGACAGAAAAATTTAAAATCACTGCGTTCCCCGACTTTTAATTTTTTTTAATGGCTTGTGACATGAAAATAAATAATATCAAAAGAGGAATTATTAATTTACTTGAAATTCTCAGATTTTCGGAAAATCTGTGACTAAAAAACAAAAATTACTGTTTTCCCCGCCTTGGAAACTTTGAAATTTTTTTAAAGGGCTTCTGACATTAGAATAAGTAATTATTAAAAGAAAAAAATTGCTACCGAGGCGAGGTGATTTTTGAAAAATTCGTTAGAAAAAAATAATAACTTCTGTTCCCCCACCTTTTCTTTATTTTAGGGTTTGGAGGGTTTACTTGGGTTAAAAATAAACAACAAAAATTTGTATCCTGAACTTTTTAGAGAAAATTTTTTTAAACATTTTTTCGTTGAATTAACGTTGGTAACTTCAGTTTCATCATTTAGACAATAAATTGAACATAATTCATGACATATAGTGCTTTTAATCTTAAAGTTACTACTAATAGAAATCATTATTATAATTATTGTGTTTCTGATTAAAACTAATAAGGTTTTACATTTTTTTGTTCTCTTTATTTAAAATAAAATTTTGTTTTTTTCTCTGTCAAGTGAATTTTTTTATGATTTTAAGCTCTTTATTTAGGCTAAAACTTTCAAAATTAATAAATAAACACTGAATAATTGATATGTTACATCATTATTCATTTTGTCTCAGTCTAAAATTAATTATTATATAGGTGTCTCAACCTGCGTACTAACTTTTTTTTAGTAAAAATTTAGTAAAAATTAATAAATTTTTTATATTCTTGAACGAAAAAATTATTTTCTGAGGCAATACTTTTTAAGTAGCAAATAGAATTTTTTGCTTAATTTTGTTTGTGTAAAAATGTACTTTGATAACAAAAGCCGTGTCCGTTCGTGCCTCACAACCCGACAAGTCCGCTAAACCGGCGTTCGAGTGAAATAACATTTTTTCTAAATCTGAAAAAGCAAATCTTGATTCTTGTAAAATATTTAAAAGTATCTTACCTGTTCTAATGTCAGCGTATGGATCACCAACATCGTTCTCATGATATATCACCGAGTGCAATGTCTCATTAACTTCATGATGAGGAAAGTAATAGTGAGCTTTTTCTATAAACCATGCCCCATGTCGTGGCGATTCAATTTTTCCTTGAAAGACACCATCAATTATACTTCCAAAAATGCGACTACCCGGTTCACCTGCGAATTCGAATATACCTTACACTGAAAAATGTTCTTTTTAATAATAAAATAATAAAATCTAAGATTCATCAAAAAAAAAAAAAAAAAAAAAAATAATGGTTTACCTTTAGCTGTATTTTTCGGTTCAAATAATAAAAAAAATGAAATAAATTTAAATTTATCCTTAAGTAAAAAGTTAAATTTTCTTGTCGATTCTGAAAGAGGACTAAAAAATATGTAAGAAGCACCAAATGCAAATTTTTTAGCCCATAATCTTCAAAAATCGCGAGTACAAATATTATGGAAAAATCGGACTTCCAGGACAAAATGGGTTAAATTTCGAGTATTTTGACTGAGACAAATCTTGTGAATTAGAAATATGCCAAAATTATAAAGTTTTTCCCGAAAATGAAGCTCTAGTTATGTACAATTTTTACAATAAAAAATATAAAAGATTACCTGCAAGATGACCTTCGTAGATATGGGATGTGTCAAGACCCTCTTGCTGTCCAGAAGGACCCTCTATCAATAAATTATCACTGAATGTACTTAGATCGCGTTTGAGTCGAAGATGAAAGTTTTTTCCATGGGCACTAAATTTTAACGATACTGTATTGTCACGAGTCACTGATCTTTTGGCTCTTAAATGACTTCGGTGTAGCTCGTGTGTAGGATAATTAAGGACTTCAAAGTGTCGAATGTATTCGTTTAGTCGATTAGCTGCAACAATAAGAGAAGAATAAATTATAAGTAACAATGCTATTAATAACTTAGAAATAATAGTATAATAATAAAGGATATATCATACAGAATATAATACAAAATATTATAATTTTTTATTAAGGATATTTCTTCTCATTCTGTTTAAAAAAGAACAGACATTTCAGTAAATATTCAATTATTCGTAAATTCTTCAATTAAATAGGGGAGACTGGGGCGAAAGGTTAAACTGTGAAAACAGTTAAAATTCATTATCTTTCGAACGGAAATAGTTAGAGCATTGCAATTTTAATTATAGAAGGGTGTTATCACTCTAAATAAATGTCCGGAGTTATGTGACATTCTATTCATTTTTGTTGTGTCCATATTTAAATTTTTTTTTTCACCCTACTTTTGAAAATTTTTTCGTAAAAGAAAATATCAACTTTTAAGTATATTTTTTCAATTTATTCTCATCGCGATTTTCTTAGGTCTTTATTTAGGTCCCCTGAAGAGATACCTAAAGATATTTGGGCAAATCCACGAAACTGTTAACTTTTATGATACTCGAATCGAACACTTAAAAGTCCATATTATTTTAGATTGAACCTTATTGTTTAATCATATTTTCCTAAATTATATACTAAGCAACATTTATGTACAGTATTAGAACAAAATATTAATTTGTCAATTAATTTTATGAGTTTAAAATTGAAAAAACGCTTAAATTTCATTTGAAACTCTCAGAAAAGTATACATTTTTAACGTTTTTATTTTTGCGGCGTGTGAAATATTAATTTAGCTACAAGGAAAATAGCTAAAAGACGTATGTTTTCAAACTTTTTTCACTATCCCATTAGTGTGCTACGACTGTAAGAAAATATATGAAGGTTTGATTGAATGATGACACTTTTTAAGAAAATTTAATTAAACGTCTTCTTATGTAAATACCTAGTGCGGCGTAGAATAAAAATAAAAGTTCAATAAGTTTCTAAATAGACAATAAAAAATCGAACATTTTAAGACCTTTTTCATTAGTGTGCCTATATTTGTATTCCTGTAGAAACAATTTAAAGATGTTAATACAAATCGTGATTTTATTTAAATTTATACATTTTTGAAAGGCACAACTACAATTTTACTTTTAACAAGTCCATGTATAGTGTGATCGAAGCATTGCCTTACAGATATTCAAAAAAAAGTATGCCGCTCAAGGATTTTGAAAACTATCAATTTTATTAAGTTAAGAATATGCTTAAAATTTCAGAAGTTGAATTCTTAAAAATCAAAAACTTCAATTACTCATTTTAAATTTAAATTTTAAATTCGTAATCAGCGACCCCAAAAACCCCCGAGTAACGAGTTTCAATCAAATCCAACTATTTAAATTTGTCATCCGTCATAATGGAGCCGCCATTTTGAATTTTGAAAAACCGACTTCAGATTGTCCAGCGGCGACCCCAAAAACTTCCGAGTAAAATGTTTGAACTGATTTAATTGATGGGAAGGTCTTACACATTTTTTGTTCACTTTATAATATTTCAGTTCCGGAAGAGGTTAATAATAAGTGTTAAACATTGGGGGCATGGGTTAAAAATGAATCACGCATACGAATTTGTGGTGCTAAAACATTCTTGAACACGTATGCAAAGTGACATCTATGTGCATACAAATTAATAAAAAAAAAATTTTTTTCTTAAAAGTCAAGTTTTATGGATTTGCCCATTTGCTAATTATCTTTAGTCAGATTTTTTATATTTGTTGTTAAAGCCAAAAATGCACCCTGGGGCGAAAAGTTAAATGTATTTTTACATGTAAAAAATATTTTTTACATTTTTCGTTTTTTTTGGGTTTATTTGTTTAGAAAATATTTATTTGACATTAAGCAAGTACCTCTTTCAGAAAACAAGACCGCTCACGTGAAATAAACCAAATTTTTTTTTTTTTTTGAAATTTTAGTTTATTAACTTCCGTGTAGAAAAATTTCGGGGCAGTCTTGGAGTCTAGTGATTGCCCCAACTAGACGCATCTGGACGGTCTAATTTAGACTTTCTAGGGGTCGTCCATATACCACGTGGACAGTTTTTCAAAGATTTTTGACCCCCCCCTCCCCCCTTGTGGACACAAAAATACATGGGATCGTGGACATTTTCAACCTTTTTTTAACCCCCCCCCCCCTCCCCCCAAAAGTGTCCACGTGGTATATGGACGACCCCCTAACTTTAAACCAAAATTTTTAAAGTTCAAATCACAGTACAATCAAGACTTTAGTGCCCGATTTGTCGGTCTTCTTTGAATTTATACATGGATTGTCACTTCAAAATTCAATGAAATAATTTAGCCAATCTAAAGAATCGTTCAAAAATAAATATTGTAGGTTTATATGTGACGCGCTCCCAAGAAAGGTACCTAAGAAGCAAACGAATTATAGGTTGGGTTCAAGTTAGATTTATCTTGATTAAAAGTTAATTTTTAATTATTTGAATTTGAAACCAATATTCATTGAATATTTTGAATATAGTGAAGACTTGAAGACCAACAATTTTTAATTAATAATTGATTCTCTTTCTGTATTTTTACTTACAAAATTTAAAACATAACCTCAAATTTTTTGCTTCTTAGGTACCTTTCTTGGGAGCGCGTCACATATGAATTATTATAAATAAAATTTTCAATGAATTTAATTAAAAATTCTAAAGAACTTAGATTTTTGAAAAATGCCTAATAATTCAAATTGTCCTGAAATTAGATAAATTTTTTAACATATTGTATTTGATTAATTATTAAAAATAATTTATCTGTAGAAGAATTTTACACTGAGAAAACTGGAGTATTGGACTAAACATCTGGAGGGACAAATCGTTCATATTTGAGAGTTAGCTATTGGATAACATTCTAATTGTTCAAATACACCATTGACAGATATTCGTGCCATTTCTCTTGGAGGGAAAATGAGTTTATAACAGAGGGACAAATTAACCATCTTGAGAAATCCCTTCCTTATCCGGCGCCAAATGAATAAATATGGCAACCTAACCCATAAATTAAATACATAAAATGTCAGAAAAATAATTTCGCGCGCATCAGATCGTACACATTTTCTGCGCAACTTTTAACCCTCAGATATAATGGGAGAGAATATACAAGTAGATTCCCATTATCAATTCAAAATTTATTTTAGAAGGACTATTTAACTCTCTTCATAAGCAAAGGAAACATACACTTTTTGAACCTCTGAATTTGACTCTCCAGTTTTCTCAGTGTAGTTAAAAACACTATAAACAATTGAGTGTTTGAGAAGTTACAGATTATTGTAGAAATTTAATTATTTTTAAAAGTAACAAAATTCTACACAGAAATTCAATTATGTTCAAAAAATTTTTTAAATTCTCATCAAAATTTCAATTATCTTTATAAATAATAAAATCGTTCTCTGAAATTCAATTATTTTCCAAATTTTTAACAAGATTCTTGGCAAAATAAAATGTAAGCAAAAATTTAATTACTTTCATAAATAAAAAACCTTTCACAAAAATTCAATAAGTATTTACAAATTTTTTATAAGTTTCATCTCAATAATTCAATTATTTTTATAAATAATAAAATTCTCAGAATTTTTTTATTATTCCAAATTTCTTAGTTAATCTCAGAATTTCTTAATTATTTTTAATACAATTTTAATCGAATTTTTCGAAAAGTGTATAATTATACTTAAGAATTCTATTGAAATTCGTCATAAGAATTCAATTATTTAAAAATTTTTTGATAAAACTGAAAGTAATACTTTAAAAAATTGTTTAATGATTATAATTGTAGTAAGAATTATTTATTTAAATATTCATATATAATAATTAAAATAATTCGGGATTATTATGTGTAATAATTTTAGTCATAGTTTTTACTTCGTCCTTATAAGCAACAGAAGATATGACACTGGCATTGATATAGTAAATTACGAGAGTTCGCACCCAGGCTTCAGTGGCCGTGCGGTTTAAATGCTTCGAGTCGGGGGGCGTGAGTTCGATCCCACATGCGAGCGGATATTTTTCATTGTAAGTGTTATATGAAAAAATAAAATTACTATATTTAATCTGTATAAGTGTTATAAATTAAAATTGTAAACATGTTTGTAAATAATGTTAAAGGCCTGTTAAAGAATGAATTTAAAAAATGTACCTACCAATTAACGCAAATTGCTTTTTCATTAAAATTATTTTTCAATATTATTATTTTAAATGATATTTACTGCTAGTGCAGTATATTATTTATTTGAAAATAATATAATAATTATTATAATAAGTTATTGTCATTAAATACATATATACACACATATATATGAATAACAATAATATTTATTTATTATTAATAATTCATATATTCACATTACATTGAATAAACGTGAGAAACAAGTAAATTTGGGTAAATTATTTAAAATTAAAAAACTGAAATATTGAAATCGAACCTAAAATTTTAAATATTAGCACTGCTCATTAGCCCTGATTAGCTCGTCCAGTCTGGACCAACGCGTGGTTCGATCGTCACTGGTCTGATTAGCCCATGGTCAGACAGTCTTTTCAGCGCCCAGTTAGAGAATAGACTGTCTTTCTGGCACCACACTAGAACCCAACAATTTTTCTACACGGGCTTTATAAAAGTTCTAAAGCTTTTGTTAAATAAACACAGATCTTTTATTAACTAAATTATTTGTTTACGTATACTTTAACTTATCAGCTACTTAACATCTAAGCGGATTATATTGTCTAAAAAATATCATTTATGCAAAATTTAACCTTTCGCCCCAGTCTCCCCTATTTATTAGAAAATAAAAACGTCAAACAATATTAAAAAATTCAATTAAACTTTTACAAATAAATTAATTTAAAAATTCAATTGATTTTAAAAATTCACGCTATATTGCTTTTAATATTTAATTATTATCTAAATTTTAACTGAAATTCATTTTAAAATAAATTTTTATTAGTTGAATATTTCTTAAAATTGAATTTTTATGAAGAATTTTA